AGAGAGAGAGAGAGAGAGAGAGAGGTATTCAATTGAAAGTTTGAATATCAAATTACCTGTCTGCCTCAAGCTACATGCGATTAAAAAAACGTGGTATACTTAGAAAAGTTAAAATGACTTTAGAAACTCCAAATATCTTTGGCGAAAGAGCGATAATGTTCTCCTTCAAGCCAGGCAGTTTGTAGTAAAAGAAATGATTCTGTATCTTGTTTCCTTTTTCGGAAACAGGATTATCCAAGTCAAGTGACCCGAAAAACCTAAAGCTGAGAAGATAATCCAATTCTCTTAGAATGTTATCAATGAAACAATCACACAACTTAATTCTCAGTATCGATGGATTTATAATTATGCATGACAAATTGTTAATAAATTTGTGTTTTATTTTAGAACTGGATTTGATGCTTTATATCTTGATGAGTTTTAATTAAAATTTAGTGATTAGAGAGCTAATGAAGTATTGGATTTGATCCTTTAGACTTGTATTAATATCAGGATTCTATATTTATAAATGCATATGACCCTCTGAGCTCAATTACATTTACATTTTAAATATTTAAATTACAACTTGTGTTTGTGTTAATGATGATTAAATGTATGTTTACTAATTTGACACACGCTAGGGATTTCATAAGTTTTAAATAGAATATTTCGTTATAAATGATATTTGTAAAAAAAATAGAGCGACTATTTACTATTCAAAAATTATTATGTTGTTAAGAAATACAAAAAATTCACAGTTATTGAAATGAAATACTTATCCTGAATCGATTAAGATCATCTATTATCACAAGGATGTCGATTATGTATTATAATAGTGTAGAAGAAATATTTGTTTGCCCAAGTGTCATGGCTATTAGTCATAATGGAGTAGCTAGTACAAGAAGACGAGGAAATTTATAATTTAAAGCACAATTATGATAACGTAATCATTAAAGTTACTAGCGCAAAATATTACACTATTAAAAAAGTTAGCAATAGAAGAAGATATTTATTACATTCAAGTATATTAACATAAAAAATATGATTGTTATAATTATTAAAAGTTTAAATACATATTTGTGAATACAATCTTTTTTATTTAACGATAAAAATTTTAATTGGTTTTAATTAAATTTCACTATTAAAAATAGAATATTTTAAATTACAATTAAAAAAGAACGATGTTGTGATTGTCGCATAAAAACGATAATATCTGTAAAAGACTAAAACTAAATTCCGGGTAATTCCTTTCCAGATAATTGCTTTTCCTTGCTACTCTCGTGCTTGTAATCTCCGGGTAATAATTAAGTTATTTAAGGTTTACGGTGAATAATCGCAACCGGAAACGACAAATCCTAAAAGTATAGAGTAATATCTTTTAATAAATATTAGTAAGAGTTACAAAAAATATCTTTAAAATATAATTCATATAATTTTTAATATATTAGATCTAAATCGATATTAATCAATAACAATTTTTAACAATTCGTTTATTGTATTATAAAAAATAAGGCGTAAATGGATTTTCTCCATTCTATTTAAAACCGCAAATATTATTAATACGAGATAAAAATATTTTTGTGAAATATCTTTTTATAGGATAAATATTCACGAATAATTTTCTGTCATTTATATAATAATATTATGTCATTTCAATAAGAATATTATAAAAATAATAAAAAAATATTATTTACCTTATTTTACGAAAAATATATTTTACTAAAAATGAATCTTTTTAGAAATCAATCGTTTTACCTATTTTTATTTTTTTTCTCTTAACATTGCCATTTTATTAAAAAATGCTAATTTAGATAATAGCTAATTTAGATGCTATGAAAGGATAATTTACGGATTTAGTTACTGAAATACACAGAACGCTACTTTACGTTTGCAGATGGATTGTATTTTCTTCACGAGATTGCACGAAGAATGTGAAATGTGATCAGTACGAAATGCAATGAAAATGCTAAACGATTGATACTATGAAGGGTTGATGGATTAAAATTCCAATGTTACCGAAACACGAGAATGGTTTTTACGTTTATTCGTGACAATCGAGATGCAACAATTAAAAACTAAATATCAAATATCAGTTAGAGTTAGAATCAATATAAATAAAAAGATATTACAAGTTACAGTAGAAAGGTGTTAAAAAATTATATGTTTGTAAAACATATATAAAATTTTTTTATGTTATCTATTAATTTTGTCTATTAAATTTTAATCATGTAATCAGAGATATACATATAGAGATATACATAAATTTGAGACAATGAACATGACAGGTATGACGACAACATGTATATTAAAAATTATAAATTAGCATTTTTATTTTTTAATGCTAACTAAAAATTAACTTTTGTTAGAAAAATTATAAAATTAAAAGCATGCAGTTTAGAGTATAAAATTCAGCAAATCAGTTCGAGACATTTGATTAATATGCAATACATGGGTAAACATGCAATTATAACGTTTGTTAACGTTTCTTACAATTCAAACTATTTCCCGCATTCTTTCCTTTGATAATATTTTATTTTTTTAATATAAAAAAGTACATTTGTATATAATTTATGAAAATGTTACGAGTATTGTCTAATAATTATTAGAAAATTATTAAGCAATAACAACTGAAATATTAATGCACATATCATTGCACAATTTTGTGTGTGTGTGTGCGTGTGCACGTGCGCGCTCGCACGCGCATGCTGTAGATACTTTCAATTATCCCGTGTTGGATTACCTCAGCAAAAGGAAATAAATCAATTCGCAAAGAAATTTCGCAGATCACGTCGTCAACATTTGAGACTTCTGTCTTGAGAATCGGATCACAGCGGTGAGACACGAAACCTTTGGTGGCGTATCATATGTCACAGAGCGGGTGGTGCACGAAACACACTTTCGCGCGAACATTCTCTCGGTAATAGTTAACTGAAGCTGCTCCGTTTCGATCTATGATCAAGTAGAAGGAACCGAGTGGCGCGGAGCACGTCCATGCTCCTTATCGAAACAGGAAGAAATGACGATTTCTTCGGGGCATTCAGCGCTTCCCTGTGTGTGCTCGAGTGATTAAGGACCAAGGGATAAAGCTGGGTAGAGATACCGTCGTTATAGGTGGAACGACGTGGGCGTGCGAACGAATGAAACCGCGAGAGAGAATTGGAGAGAGAACGATCGAGAGGGTGAGAGATAGAGGGAGATTGAGAGATTGAGAGAGAGAGAGAGAGAGAGAGAGGGGGGGGAGGAGGGGGAGGAAAGGGAGAAGGAGCAAGGACAACGTTTGAAGATTGGGTCGCTTGTAGGTATGAGCGCGCGGCTTATGCGCGAGGCGTGCGCCACCATCACAACTACCACCACTACCACCACTACTACTACTACCACCACCACCATCACTACTACCACCACCACCACCACCATCACCATCACCACCACCACCACCACCGCCACCACCGCCAGCACCACCGCCACCACCATCAGCACCACCTCCACTTCTGCCTCCTCGATCAGTCGACCCCGTGCAACGCGGTATGCCGGCCGCCGCGTGATACTGTATCCATGTATGTGGTGCGCTCTTCGTGAAAGCCCGCCGGAATCGTAAAGTCGAAATCGTAATTTTCAGCAATCGTCATCGAGAAGCAAAGAAAGGATAGTGACTCCTACGTTGTGAGGAGTGACGCAAAGTCGCCTCTGGAGACGTTATACTTTAAGGGGTGGGGGGTGAAAAGAGGGGCGAGTAAGCGGAAGCGATTTTGAGAGAGGTGAAGCTCTATATTTTGCGCGCGTGCGTGTATGTATATTGTGCACGGGAGTGCGTATGGTAGGGAAAGTAGGGTGAGTTTAGAAAGCATGAAGAGGGAAGGAAGGAGAAAAGGAAACGGAGAAAGAAGGGAAGAAGGATCGTGACGGGGATGATCGGGCTCGAGAGAGAGGGTGGAAATTGGCCGTTTGAAAGCTCGTGGTTTTGATGAGGAATAGCTTGTCACTATTGGCGTGACTTTAGGGGCAATGGCGGTTCTCCCTCCAAAAAGTAACCCTAGAATTATTTTAGCTGATCGAGTTTGAGATTATTTGACAGAATACATATATCTCGGAAGAATTTTTTTCTTTTCCATTACATTTATAATTTAGTATTAAAAAACTGCCAAGTTTGTTTTTTACAAATAATGGTGATCCATTATTCAAGATGTGTCTTTACGTCTGGAATGTTCGCTTCACACTTGTGAAGTGTGAAGAACACATGTTAAAGTAATCTTTAGTTATGTTCTTAATTTTAAGATACTTTTTTTTTGCCTGTCGCGCTATTTTATATTCCTATCCTTCGTAATTCTCCTATTCTTTTGTTAATTAACTGACGTCTTCTTAAACTTAATTGATTTTTTCTCTTCAAGAAAAGCGTAACATACAATGATGAATTGATTCTAGCCAAAGGGGAAATAACAGCTCGACAATAGATTCTAAAAACTTTTTTTGGTCAAAGGATTAATTATTATATATAGGTATATATTTTACATTAATTGTTAGCCATATTTTACATTGTTAGATAAATTAGATTAATTAAATGACAAATGACTGAAAATCAAATTTTGAGTAATAGATTTTATCTTTGTTATTAACATCGAATGATCAAATATTGGAGTTTAAAGTCATATTGAATATGTGCTAAAATGTTCTTTAAAATGAAACATATGTACTCTCAATTATACATATTTGACAAATAAATCTATACACTCATATACTATCTATGAGCTTTTTGTGCTCTTACGCTGACAAGATTTTTAGCCAATCTTAACGAAATTTCCGATCATAGTGGTGGATATCTAATTGGTGATGTTTTAAATAATATGTCGCGTGGTGTGTAAATGCTTAGTAGTTTAATAGTATGCATACGAGCGTACGTCGCGTCGTCACGGGATTCTATCTTTGCTTCATGAAGCTTTAATGATGATTCGTGGTGGACTGCATTATTGCAATCGACACCCTGTGGTATTCCGGCGTTGCGGTTTACAACGGATACTACAGTCGGAAGTAGAAACTGATTCGTGAAATACGAAATTATTATCGTGTTTCGTAAACGGTCATGTAATACGATAATTGGAAAACTGAAGTAGGGAAGCGATTATCTATGCAAAGCATAATTTACACGATTAGTGATTCAAAATGGTTGCCTTTATAAATGTTACTTTAATTTTAGACGTGCAAGTCTGTTTAATAAACTTTCTGTTTTGTTTTAATTTTCGTTTTAATCTCTCTGGAAAGAGAAATAATTGTATAAAAATTAATAGCACTTGGTCGAACTAAAGAAACTTAATCGGGGGTAATATAATCGTTTATCAAGATAATAATCATTGTTTTATCGTAGTAAACAATAATTTATTATCACACATGATAATATTATGATTATTTTCGGGTTTTCTATAAAAAGATTACAATAAATTAAATTTTATTGTCGTATATGGTATGAGAAGTCATTCCTTATCAAATATTTTGAGTCTTAGTGAGTCGAATTGATTTATTTAACAAAGTACATGTATACGTCTCATTTTCTTTTTCTTTATTTTTTTAAATAGACTTAGAGAATCGAAAAAGAGAAATTACCGTCCCATCGTGCAAATGCCGGCTTTCCACTCGCTAACTTGTTGAGTCTTTCTCTCTTGGCAGATACGCTGCCCATGGGAAACGCTTTATGACAATTCTAAATCTTTTACGTGCAGGGTATTATTTTTCAATGACCTATAAAAGTTTTGTAGCAAAAGGAAATATCCAATGTAATATACCTATGTATATAATATTGGTGTTGCACCGTGGAATTTAATGTATGACCCACGTTTCTACAACGTATTTCGATTTTAACATTGATATTTCAAGTGTCCGAGTAAAACTGCATTGTTTTAATATCCTTACGAACAATCGTCTTTGGACATGTAGATATAAATAAAAAAGACGCTTAACACGCTTGATTAAATTAATTCATTAATATTCTTAAAGCAAATATATAATCCAAATGACTAGCGTCATTGTACAAAAAGATTTTTTTTAGAAGAGTAGAGCAATTTGGAGGAATAAAGTTTCTTGTGCAAGCTGTAGTTTTATAATGAATCGTGATTAAAAGATATTTGGCATATTTTTATTTTTCCAATAATACTTAATATATCATGTACAAGATGTTCCATTTTTATCCATTTTTTCCGTAATTATTGATAATATAACAAAATATCTGATACGAAAGTTGTCGAAGGATTTCGAGGGGAACACATTTTGGTCACGTTGTTTTTTTTATTTTTTTTTTTAAGTAAAGGCATTAAAAACATATGAAGTCCACTTTTTTAAACGGAATTATATAATTTTTTTACATAATGTGTTTCCTCTAATTATTCTACATATAAAAATATTAAGGTAAAGTTATCGAAATCAATACTTTATGAGAAATTTTATACGTTATAATGCTATATTTTGACATAAAATATGAAATATTCGTAAACTATTGATTTCTTGATAATTGTAACACTTTTATGTACAGAATAATGAGATGAATCGATTGGTGTAAAGAAAACACACAATTACTTTGCAAATAATGTGTAAAAATTGCAAATTTTTTTTTAAAAGCAACTATGTGTTTTCTTTATATACCAATCGATTCATCTCATTATTCTGGGCCTAAAAATATAGTATACCATTATCAAGAAATCAATAGTTTACGAGATATTTCATACTTTACGTCAAAATATGAAATATCTTGTAAAGTATTGATTTTTCGATAACTTTACCTTAACACTTTTATATGTAGAATAATTAGAGGAATCATGTTATGTAAAAAAAATTACATAATTTTATATAAAAAAGTGGAGATGATCTTCATATCTTTTTAGCGCCTCCATCTAGAAAAAAACCACGTGACGAACAAAATGTGTTCCCCTCGAAACCCTACAACTTTCATGTGAGACATTTTGTTGTATTATCAATAATTACGGGGACATCCTGTATATATATGTATGTTTAAGCATTAAAAAAAATTACGATATAGGGCGATCTATATGAAGCGTGAGTTACTGATATTTTCATCTTCACTGTGTGATTCGAGTTTAGAATTATTTCGCGAAAACTAAAAGTTAAGTGTATAATCGATATAGCACCATTGCAAAATCATTTTATTATTTTAGCTTAATGCACAATGTATTTTAATGCCAATTCTTAGGCAAATCGAGCAATTCAATAACTACGAATTCATTAAATCGCATTTATTCATTCGTGATATTAACGGATTGCGAAGGTTATCCTTTTTCAAAAACCGATATCAAATATAAATACATAGAGCGGTAAAAACACACAGAGTGGTGAGTGCCTTTTTACGGAGTGGCAAAGTTTTTCTCTGCTAAAAAGCAACACGCAAAGTGCATTGAGTGCAGGCTTGAACAAGATCGACGATTCCTAAGGAAACTCTATCCTTCAAAATCGCTTTACTCTTCACGAAAGAATCACTCTCCCGGCATTCCCCGCCCGATATCGCGATCCTTCCGATGCACCGTATGCATAAGAGGAAACTCCTTCCCAGACGGTGACGACGAAGACGAAGACGAAGACGAAGACGAAGACGAAGACGAAGACGAAGACGAAGACGACGAAGACGGAGACAAAGACAAAGACAAAGACGGCAACGACACGACGAGGGACAACGCCCGCCCGCGCGAAGCGTCTCGCTCCTGAAAATCTAACGAGATCGATGTGTGTCGAGTGAAAACTTGACGAACTCATTTCTTCGTAACACTGACGCTTGCCGAGATACGGCCGATGGACAAATAGCCGAGCCTATTTCCATTGTTTAGAAGAGGGTTTTCGAAGCGGGACACTCGAAGCGACGTCAATCGTTTGGCGGATTAGCAAAATTCCGAGCGCACTTCGCGAGTGTTCGATACTCCTTATCGAGCGTGGCTAGGATATTCGGTCTGATTATGAGTTCTTGGATGAACTGTCCGTCTTCGTTGCTGCTGTTGCTGCTAGGCTTGAGCCTGCACAGCGCGTGCATCACGCGAGCGAACGTTGCCGATCAGCAGCACGGTGGCCAAGAGGGTGGTCCGTCACACGAGTCCACCTTAGTGGTGGAGACTACTAGCGGGCTGATGCGCGGTTTCTCTCGCACGGTGCTCGATCGTGAGGTCCACGTGTTTTACGGAGTGCCGTTTGCAAAGCCTCCGGTCGGACCTTTGCGATTTCGTAAGCCACTACCGATCGAGCCATGGCACGGGATTCTGAACGCTACCACCTTGCCCAACAGCTGCTACCAGGAGCGCTACGAGTACTTTCCCGGTTTCGAAGGTGAGGAGATGTGGAATCCAAACACCAACATCTCCGAAGATTGTCTCTACCTGAACATCTGGGCGCCGCAGAAGCTGCGTCTACGTCACAAAGAATCGCCAGACAACGTCGGCAACAACGGAATGGCGATATTGGTGTGGGTCTACGGTGGTGGCTTCATGAGCGGCACTGCCACCCTGGACGTCTACGACGCCGACATTATGGCGGCGGCCAGTAATGCGATCATCGCCTCGATACAGTATCGTGTCGGAGCTTTCGGCTTTCTGTACCTCAAGCAGCACTTTATCAATAGCGAAGAGGCGCCGGGTAATATGGGTCTCTGGGACCAGGCCTTGGCTCTCAAGTGGCTCCGTGAAAACGCGCGCGTCTTCGGCGGCGATCCCGACTTGATCACGATTTTCGGCGAGTCCGCGGGTGGTAGTTCGGTATCCCTGCATCTCATCTCGCCGGTCACGCAAGGTCTAGTGCGTCGGGGTATCCTTCAGAGTGGCACCCTCAACGCCCCGTGGAGTTACATGACCGGCGAGAAAGCGAACGAGGTGGCTCGAGTGCTGGTGGATGATTGCGGATGCAATTCGACAATGCTGCAAGAAAACCCGGCACGAGTTATGGCTTGCATGAGGTCGGTGGACGCGAAAACTCTTTCAGTGCAGCAGTGGAACAGTTATTGGGGCATCCTCGGCTTCCCGTCGGCGCCTACCATCGACGGGGTCTTCCTGCCTAAGGATCCATTGGACTTGGTCAGAGAGGCGGATTTTAAAGACACCGAGATCCTGATTGGAAATAACGAGAATGAAGGTAGGAACACTGGCGGTGCGAGAGTGTTGTTTCACGGGTTTCACGAATTACTGCAGCCGACACTGTTTACGGTCGGCTGTGCTGTGCCAACGGCATTAAGCCAAGCTGTATGCCCGGCTGTTTGTAAATGAGAATATGTGTTTTCTCTATACTCCGCGGAGCCCACGTTCTTCGGGCTACAGAATGGCCGAGTAGATTGAACGGTCTCTTCCGGTTACGATTATTTCAGTATGTGTACAGTGGATAAGAATTCAATAGCGCACTGCAGTTCGCTATCAGTTTTCAACTCACAATCAGTTTACGCGTTTATGTGAAGATAAAGAGATTTACATATCACGTAGCGTCTGAATCTTAGACGTATCTTTTTTAAAAATTTTTTTTTTTAAGGCAATTTGTCACTTTTTAGTCTACAGAAAAGGCGTTTTTAGCAAATATGTAAAATTACGTACATATGTGCCCAGGATATACAATATACTATATGTTATACACATGTGTATGTTATAACTGTTATACATGCATCAAATTTTTTTCTCGATACATTTGACATATTCGACGTATTTGATTTCTTGACTTTTAAAAGTCAATTGTCAGTTTGTCAATGGCAGTTTTGAAATTTTTTCTTGCATCAAGCGCATCAGTTTATCGTTAAAATTCGGTGCAGAGATGCACTCACAGTGAATTATGTACATTGCCGATTTAGCATTTATATAGACGTTAATAAATATTGATGTTATATAAATGTCATTAAACGCTTTCAATCTCAGCAATCTTTGTTAATTGCATCTCACATTATAGTTAGTCAACCGTTTTATTCATTGCGCATTATGCGTACTATAGGTAAGTGTGCTCACGATTTAATTATTTCGCAATTAGGTATTTGATTCTACTTCACTGTCTGGGTATGCATATTTCTCGCGATAATTCGCAAATTAGAAACAGAAAAGAGAATAAGATTGACGAGGATTGCCGAGTTGAATAAAATTCGGTTATCTCCATTTTTTGCATTTGATAATCGTCTATGCTGTTGACATAGTCAACAGCAGACGTAGGATTATCAACAAAAGTTCTGGTACTTATAGAGACATCGTTCTTTTCATTAAATGATATAAATAATCAAACTGGGTTACTCCAGGTAGAGTTACATAATCATAAAGACCTGTTTACGTCGCGACCAACCGCTATGTAGTTCTGGTGTATATCGATTAAATGACCAATAGTGAAACGACATGTATGTAGCGCCTTCAATCTTCTCGTATATTCCTCTTGTTGATGACAGGATTATTGATATGTCTTTAATTTCTACAATGTTCCGATATGTTAATGATGTTTATTTAGCTTGAAGATAACAACTCTCGTCACCCTCGTGAAAATAACGCAGGTTTTATAGTGAAAAATTTACACATATAGGCAATACCGGTTATATTTATAACCGGTGAGTAAGATTTAATCGAGTAATACAACTGGCGAGGAAGAAAGTAATGAAAAGGATAACAGCGTTACAAGTAATGCGTTATTTTTCAACTCTGTATTAAAGTATATTTATTTTAATTTAATGTCAGAAATTAGCGCAAGAACTTATCTTGCATTTTTTCACAATACAGAGGGAAATTGTTATATAAGTGATTTTTAAACATTTTGTATGTGCTTTAAAAATATGCATGCAAAATGTTACGTAAAAATTTTTTAACAAATTTCGAGATATATAAATCTGAGTTTTTTGTGTACCTTTCATTGTTCATTTTATCAGTCGGACATCAAAAGAGTTAATAAGTGTGGAGTATGTGTTTTTTCTTCTTGGTCATTTATTATGTCATCGTATAAGCGATTGCTATTCTAGCAATCCAATCGGAAATTTATACACTGTATATCTTTATTCTCGACACGCGAACGTTACTGTCGATTTAATGACCGTGTTGCTATATGCTCACGCAGGATCGTTATCTTATGTTTGATTATACAGACATTCTCTGTTACTGGCGCATCTATCGGGCATGCAAATGCCGTGCCGCGGTGATAAATCGGTATTGTCTGTAGAAACCGAGTACACGCGCACACGTTCAGTGCGTGCAGAGTTTAATTCAAAATATAACCAAGCTTCCTCGCTAAATCGGTTAATCAAACTTTGGTATTGACAGCGAACCACCACCGCGCGCAATTCTGCCTCCTTTTATTTATAGTCACTTTAGAGAGAGGAAAAGAACATAAGGGAAAGAGAGATATCGAGATTCTGTGTCATTCGAATTGATTTCCGTGCACCTGAACGGCGGTAATTTTTAATTCTTTAAAAGCAGATAAGTAAAATAGATTAAATAGCGCGAGCGGAACATGGATAAAGCGTCGGAGCTGAAAGTGGATTGAATTTCGCACGTATCAACTAGATATCGGCAACAGGTTCCCTGCAGTAACGGCGGATCGAAGATAGAATATGTTTATTGAGCAGTGTAATTTTTGCTGAAATCAGAGTTTGATTGCGTATATATTGATATAAAGCAGTTTAATTAAGGATGTGAGAGAAGCGGGATGGGGTGGGGGGTGGGGGGTGGGATGGGGGGGGGGAGAGTGGAGATGAGGAAGAGAACAAGAGGGAGACAGAGAACTATTGATACTATTGTACCAAAATTTATTTTTATGGTGTGAAATATTGTCACAATTACATAAAATATTGCCACAATTATCAGTGCTTAAGTATCCTGATTCATTTATCGACATCTCGCGTTTAACTTTGTAATTTTTCGAAATTATTAATATTACTGGTGACACGAGCAAGTAAAATATTTTATTTTAAGTAGTATGATAATTTTTTTTAGAATAATATATTAATTTTTTAAAATTATTATGTTGTTTTTAAAGTGATATTTAATTCCATAAAATTATAGCATATTGAATAATAGTTAACTTTTTAATAATCAAATGTAAATAAAAAGATTCTATAATCTAAATTTTTCTAAAAAAATTTCCATTATAGATAAATCTTCATTTTGTGAGAAAAGATTATAATAAATATTTTAATTTTGAATTACGAAAAAAATTTAAGGATTTAAACAAGTTAAGCTTTGAAGAACTTAAATGAGTAACAACATTATATTCTTTAATTAATTTCAAGGATTTTACTTCAATAAAGTTTTAATCTTGTGTCACAAACTATCATGGTATTTAATGTCAAAGAGTTGTCGAGAGAAGTTGCGACAAATGATGGTCCCTATATATAAAAATTTCTCTATCTAAAGATTTAATTTAAAAGTTTAGTCGAAAATCTGTTACGTATTGTATTAAAATACATGTTGCTAGGTCGTAACCAGATTTATTGAACTTTAATGTTAATTTTTAGAAACCAAAATAATATTCACAGTAAAGATTAAAGTAATTGTTTGTTCTTCAATATTTGATATGTATGTACAGTGACAAGCCCAAAGCTCAGTGTAATGAAGGGATTATTAATGGTTTCATGCTCGAATAGATTAATTCATGACAATTAAACGTCTCGTATTTACTCTATCTTTTCTGTTTCATCGCGTCAATCTATATTGAATCTTTTAAATCAGGAATATTTCTTTTTTACTCATTGTCAGATGTAATTGGGTTTAATACGTGATAATAACTTGCTTGTTGCATGCGGAGAAATTTGGATGGATCTGTAATTCATGATGAAGCTATATATGTTAATTCTATAATTATGTCCGTAGACATAATTTGACATACGTTGCATCAATATAATTCTTGTTAATCAAAAAGGGGTTTTCATACTCGAGATCTCTCACAGTTTACGTGCCACGTGGCACTTAAGATTGATACTTGTACTTTCGCCGCAATGCGTGTGCTTAAGCACACTAACGTTATTTACACGTATTGAGCGATAACTTCTAGATTTATTATATGTACTGTGTTTTATTGCTTACATGTAAAATGGTTTCATGATTGCGCCTGTTGATGAATAGAATATTTGCAGAGTTTACATTATTCTAACAAAATGTTTTGTATAATCTAGCGAAAGGTAAATTAATTTTTCTGCAAAAATACGTACAAAATGTTATTGTTATTTTCTTTTAAATGACACTCATTTACAATAAAAATTCAAAAATGATTATCTCGTTATTTTTTTAATTTACTTATTTCGAATGTTTTTCGGAGAAACATTGTTATATTTATAAAATATATTTATTAACAAACATTCTACACAAAATTTATATTGATTTGTAATGTAATATATTACACACACACACACACACACACACACACACACACAC